AAACGCGAAAAAGAGAGCAGCTAAATCCTTAACTATCCTACAGAAGCGACGCTAATATTTATACTCCACCTCTTAATTACTAGGCCGCTTACAATTAGTGTATCTAAAGAGACCCCTAAGTAATATCAAAATTGATAGGAAAATGCTTAATGATATAATTTATTATCTATAAACGCTATCTGACCACATTTTGATCTCCGATACCATTTCCCCTAGGGAGTGGGCCACTATACATTTCGCTACCCAATTGCTACCCAGCGGGTACGAAGAGATTATCGTGAGGAAAAAGGTAGAAACAGACGCTGTATCCGATTTTAACTCCCTACTAATATAGCGAGAATAGAAGTGTCGAAAGTGTGCTGCTGCTGATGAGGAGCGACTGTATGACTGAGACGCTCCTTGTTCTTATTACCTCGTCAGCTATATTTCGATAGTATGGCTGGTTATTGAAATTTGAGGAGCAAATATAGTGCTACGTAACTAATAACCTATACTCGAGAACCTGTTAAGCTTTAAATTTATTAGTATATGACTATAGAACTATTAGATATAAAGGAGTTGAATAATTCTCTGTGTGACGTTACTATACCTAGTAAGCAGAAAGAAATATGCAAAACTAACTGCATATTGATTTCTAATGTAATAAAACCAAGGTAGCGTGTGCGAGATCAATTGGGGATAGTAATGAAAAAATAGCAATTTCGTAAGTCGATTTGTCTCGAATATTAAAACCAGCCACTCTTTATATTATTAGCCCGCTTTAGTCATAGGGTTGTAATGACTCTGTGTTCTATAAGGATTGAGATATATGTGCTATTTTATTAATCGGCTTATGGCTACTAGTCCTTATAACCGGTTTAGCAGTTATTTTAAGTCAGCATATTAATCTAAGTGACTTATTACGGCCTTATTTGTAGACTCTAATATTGGTAAAGTATAAAAGACTAGGGCGCTAAGACACGAATCATCTATGCTAGTATCTATCGGAGGAGCGTTTGAGGCCGACTCGCTGTGCTGAAACGCGAGTCTCTAAACCACAGGTATACCTGGCTATAACCTAGTCTACTAGATTCTCTCCCGTTATCTGGTAAGTATGATCGTTTTAGTGTTAACTAGTAGAATTCCTGATACTGACAGAGAGACTTAAAAGTTTATATAATAATCAGTTAGAAATAGAGAGCGCTAGAATATTTAATATATACTTTAGAGGCTTTACTTTCTTAGAAAGCGCTGTTGTTTGGAAGTCCTTTTCTGTTCCTTCGCACCATCCTGGATCTGCTGTAACCTATTAAATATAGTAGCAAAATATCTTAATCAACCTAGTTAAAAAGGCTACGAAGGAGAATACTACTGCGAGCCAGGTTACAGTAAACATATGTACCCTAAAATTAGTATTTGTCCCTAAAGCACCGGCCATCAACCCGTAGATTACCGTAACTCTAATGGATACGCCAGTAATGAATATAGTTACAAACTAAATAGTGGTCAGCCTACTCTACTTAGAAAATTATCTATTAAAGTATACTAAGGATAGAACAGTAAGTAATAACTTTCCCCACAGAATAATCATTATCGTGATGCTAATGACAACGGCCAAAAATGTCGCAACAGAGCCTAAGATGTAAGTTAGGATTGACCACCGAGAAACATAATGGTTTACAGCAAGAATTTTGGTAATCTTTTCTGGTAATATATCTTCGATAGCCATGGGCATTGAACCAAAAATATCAAATAGGTTAAAAGAGAATGAGGTACTTGGATGCGAGCAGTTGGTATAGGATGCTACATTCTTACGGCCTTGATAATACCCCCAAAGTCCTACAGTATAATAGCCTGGAAGATTAGACTTTATCTCGTCGGATAATGATAGGGCCTTATCGCTAACCTGGCTCACTGCAGTCTAGGCGACTGCTGTGGTATGATTTACAACAGTAGAACCGTCTTTTGCAACATTATTAGCCTCATTACTGGCTGTCTTTCCGATATCGGAGGCGTCTATGCTATTAATAATGAGGGAGCGACGTAGGTAAAAACTTCTAAGTTCCGGAAAGTTGGTCAAGTTCACCTATTATTTCGACTTAAGCTAATCAACTAAAATCATTGGATGTTATCTTACTTACCTTTAAGAAATATAATTCATTGGGAGAGGAGATCGATGTGCATCCTATAAAGACGATGGCCAGACATATCAATGCTGATAATGAACCTGCTAGGGGAAATAGCTTTCCTACGCGCTACATCATCTTATTTAGGCTAAGCAGGACATTCTATGGTAAATGCTTTCTTTATAGTTGACTGGCAAATACAGGGAGACGTTATGCTATTTATCAAATATAGATCCATCATCAGGCTTACAAGACAAGGTGGAATTGCCCCGGCCAATTTTGCGTGCTGTTGCAAAGGGGCTCTTTTAACAGTAGAGATATTTCCTTTTCGGTCAAGTTTTAGTAGATCTAATTAACCTAGCAAAGATATTGCCCTCCTCAATTATCACCCATCTCTAACATGATGGCAAGCTCTCCGTTAACACATTTGCTAAAAGTTGATCCTATCCTTATAGTTGCAATTATAATCCTAACTAAGGCGCCTGTTGACCTTAGAATAGTTAAGTACCCTATCCGCTCTGAGATAGTCTTAAGTAGACTTACTCACTTCGTCTCAAAATACCAGGATTAACTCAGCGCTAGGTCGAAGACGAGGAAGGTAAACTCTTTGCTTATTGTGAAAGACGTTTCGAGATGACCACACGTGTTAATATCTCTCGTATTAAATTCGATAAAATATTTAGACGGCAAATGGACGATCGCTAGAATATCCTTCGACTTGAACGAATCATGGATACCCAAGGGTGCAAGCGACTTATGAAGGAATGCTATGTACCAGTCCTGGTTCCAAGAATTAATTGGGAATATCGAGTTAGACTACGAATAATAGACGGACAGCTTCACCAGTTAGACGTTAATATCGACTATAGGCTCCGCGGATAGGACCACGAAAACTTGATTACTACAGCTCGGAATAAGCTCGGACCTGGCAATCAATAGTAGATAGTGGATGTCTATATAATAGACTAAACCTATACGTAAAGTAGCTAAACCCAGCTTTTCCCTAAGTTTCTTACCTTACTGTTTCAAAGCTAGTGAGGAGCTCTTACAGAAAGAGTTTATTCGCTCACTCCAGGAACGGTTCCTAAATGACCGTAGACCACCAAATAGGCTAATTTATCAACGAATTCGATATTATAAAGGATATCTCGATGGCCCTATAAATAGAACCGTAGCAAACTATTAGTAGGCAGCTCTAGAAAGTCATCCTAGAAGCAAAAAGGGCAAATATCTACAAGCTTTTCTTAAGCACCCAACCTTCCCCAAAGCCTTCGATAAACTACTTCCTATAGTAGGTATCTAGGAGGGTATACAGATCAGTTTACTCCACAAGCTAGTGGCAATACAATGCGATAAGGTAAGATACACTTACTTTAAGGCAGATCTCGGTGCTTTAAGATCCACGTTTTACTAACAAAAAAAAAAGCCTCTTCTGTACTATTTAAAGCATATAAAAAATACCTTCTTTAGTCTAATAAGAGACAGGGATGATCTTTTAGCTTAATTAGATAGAGTGACCGTTGAATTATTAAAGTCTCAGGTGCCTAAAGTCTCTATTCGGGACTTAAGATTTTTATAAGACCGAATGTTAAAGCAAGAGTTATTCCCTAATATTGAAGATCCTCGGGACCGTTTTAACATTTAGGAACGGTTACAAAATATTGAGTATCCTATACCAATATTAGAAACATTTTTCAAAGATAGGCTCAACCTTAAGATCGGCCGGAATATACTACAGCAGCTTTATATCCCCGATCCTTACCGAAAAGTAACAGTCGATATAGGACTCGGCGAACTATATAACATTAGTATCCCTCTCTTAACCTCAGATCGATAGAGTAGGATTCGGGGGGAAATTTATAAGTTCTAGCGTTTCAGTTTTCAGTATAGATTCGAGATGGTAGATCACAAGCGCCTTATATCGCGGATAAAAGCTAGGTCCCAACGCGCATCGAGACCCGGCTTATCTAATAGATCAGACACAGCGGAACGAGGGAACCTCTAGCAACATCTGTTTCAACTTACTAGAGATATAAACTTTAACATCCCTTTTGCGAATGAACTCCCTACTCAGCCAACAGAATTACCTCCTCTCACAGCATATGACTATCCTAAAAGTACTAAAGAAGATTTACCGGTAAACAGACGATACGGAAAGCCATATATAGACTCAGTAGAAGCGGATCAGTTTACACTTTTACAGGAGGCACTAGAACAACCTTAGAGCTCTCCTCAAGTCACTACAGCATTTATTCAGCGATTAGTATTTCTAGCTTTTTTCCGCTATCTCAAAGGGGCTCCTAATAGCCCATTCGTTACTAGCAATACCCCTAAAGCGAATAATATTTCTCTAACAGAATCGTCGACAAGCAGGAACACAAACTTAGACAATGCGATTCTGAGTTCGGTTATTACACCTCAGGAAAATATAGTGCCTTTGCTACCCGTACTTTCTACTCAATATTTTAATCCTACATTTGCCTCTCCGGTTGTAAATGTCTAGCAGCACTATTACTTCGAAATGAAATTCATCTTCCCCAGAGAGCCTGAAAAGCTCGTACAGCTACCAAATGACCAATTCGCTTTAAGTATATTTTTCGAGGGATTTACAAGACACCATTTCTATATATATTCTCCAGATAATCCAGCACGGGGAATCAATGAAAGAGAGTATTATTCACTTTACTTTAGGAACCCATTCATACGTTTGCATACCGAGTTCATCGGAGTGGAGTATTTTAAAGCACTGTTATACCCGTCGACGGAGCCAGAGGAAACAAGAAGACGCAAGAGGCGACGTACAGATGGCTTAAGTGAAACTATTGATGCCAAGATTTGGTTGAATCAGAGGCTTAGCGAGCTGGTCCCGGACAATGGTGCATATCAATTACAAATTCAGATCCCCGAGGATGAAGATTTAGAGGCTTGGTAGAGCTGTCGCATCTGTTCTGGGCGTAAATGCCGCAGCCCGCCTAAAGCAATACTGACCTTGATTGCTCGTTTGATCGCTTGTTGGACGTGTTCTTTCCAGCGAAGCTCCTGGTCGAAAATCACGCCCAGCAGCTTGGCCGTGGGCGACGCTTCAACTGTCTTCCCGTTAATAGCCACCTGTCCCTGGAGCTGTTCGCTTCGTTTCCTGGTGATATGAATGAGCTCGGTTTTCTCTGCTGCGAAGCAGGACCCGGTTCGACGGGCCCATGCTTCAATGCGGGGGATGTCTTCAGATTGGATCTTGGCTAGGTTGTCTTCAGCTGACCGACCTACTCGCCAGCGGAAGTAGTCGTCGATGAAGGCGGATGCGCCGCCGTGGAAGGTGACGGGTTGGTCGACCCAAAAGACATTAAGTAGCTTCGACAGGTCTACTTGCATAGACCACTACCCCAGTTTTTCACCCGATAAATCAGGCTTCTGGTCTTTTGAGGTTCACCACACCTCTCACCCTGGGTGTCTCTCAGTTTGCTCCTTAAGCATACATTACGGGCAAGCCAACTAGGACGACACCGCTTCAACCGACCAAGGTCGATCTCAGGCCCCCAGTGCGAGTGGGGTAGTTGGCTCCCGGCTTTTTGTACACCGACACGCGCATCCGTCCTCTCGGGCTATACAGACAGTCTCTTGACAGGCCCCGACCCTGCCGCAGTGGCTGCCATTGTACACCACGCCCCGCGAGAGCTTTCACTCTCGTTTCGCGTTACCTGAGGAGGTCTCCCTTCGCCAGGCCGACCGTGTCTTGCAGAAAGTCCTCCATACGCTCCATCCGGCAGTATATGTCGGTTGCTCTCCACTAACCAAGCTTGGTCCCCCGTGTCTGAACAGGATCGACGGGTTGCCCGTGGCAAAGCCTTAACGAGTCCCGCCGACTGCCACCAGTCAAATACCAATATTTTTCAGATTGCCCGTGTGTCTCCCAAGAGGATGCCCGTGTCTCGGCGGTGCCCGTGTCCCGAAGAGCAGTCGCCCTGAAGCTTGCCCGTGGCTGAGCCTTAACGAGGTCTCCAGCGAGCGATGTCTCCGAGCCTTAACGAGTTCAAGTCTTAACGAGGCCTCTGGGCCTTGAACGAGGTCTGTCCGATATCAGCTTGACTGCCTGTGTCACCGGTTCACTACCACCTCGCCGCATCTCGCACGATGCGATCCCAGACCGTATGCAAGCTCAGGGGTGTCCTGTCTTCTCCTTAGGCGACACCACTTCCACTGGTAATGCAAGACCAGTATCGGGCCCGAGTGCGAGTCGGGTAAGAAGAAGTCGGATGGTTTTCATATGCCGTTATCCCCTGATTTTGGTGTGGTTGTGCGGTCGCTTCCCGCACCGGGCCGGACCGCACAACCACGGCGGATTCAATTTGGTCTCCCCAACGGGGATTAACACCGGACACCACGAGAAGGTAAGAATCCATCGTCCCAGCAGCCTGGCAAGGACTGCTGCCCAGTGCGAGCTCACCGGGGGCTCCGTAATACAGTACATGGATATATATAGTTGTTGTAGCCCGCATATCGTCCCGAGGGGTCGGGGTAAATGAAATCATCATCATCATCATCCTTGCTCCAATAATTCGAGGTGTATTGTCTTATGCTGTGAGAAACAACACTCTATAAAGCTGGTTTTAGGTACGACTTTGGTGACCACCCGGCGCCTTTTTGAGGCATCAATAAATTTGATACAGTGGTTGAGCGACAGAAAGGGGTACAAGTCTTCTAATCCGAGTGAAAACTTGAACCCTCAAACTTCGACGGGGCCATTTGTCAAACTGATATTATTAGGGGAAAGCGGAAGCTATAATACCTTGTTTAATTTGCTTAAAACTTATTTTTTTAGCACTATTTAGAGACCCGTTTCTCGTGACTTAACAATTAATTAGCTTTAACAAGATTTTTTATAGAGTTCATACTTATTAGCATAACTCTACAGTCAAACAATACTAGGAGGCAATCTTGCATTCGGAGCATCAAGAAGTTATTCCAAAGGCATTAGCCTATTAAGGTCGGTTTGATATACATTGAAAGAGTGTAGGTTTGATTACTGAAATCGTTGTCTGTCATAGCCAACAACTGCGAACATTATCTGATCCAACCTCAACGTCAGAAACTCATACGTCGAAAAGTAGCCCGGAATACAGAGCAGAATAGTATTATCTAACTTCAAATATTTTACAATCGACTACCCTACATTCAAGCTCAACGGCTCAAAATCTCGACTAGGGCTCGCCACTTCAGCCGCCTCTCTCAGGGACAGCCACAAACACTCTCATCCTCGATTAGTCGGACACTAGCGGTACAGCCACACCTACACTAGGACATAGTAAGATCAACGATAGGGTAGATAACAACGAAATTATATTCCATAATTTACAGAATCCCCACGCCTCATTGTCCATCAACAGTCTGGTCAAACTCGATATCACCCATCCCGCAATCGGCGGTCAACCCATATTTCGCTCTACAGAACTCACGAGTGATTATAATCATAACTCCACAGGAAGCTCTGATTTTACCTTATACTTTCCCTCAGACCCAACCACGACATCTCTACCGCATCCGGCTACTTTGTTAGTCCCTTCACGTTCAAACTAGGTCTCCCCAAGCTCTCCTATCCAAATATCAGTGAAGTACAGTAAAGAGAATTCCCAGGAAATTCAAGATAAGGCTTCACAATCTGGACCAACAAATATTACTAGGACTCTGAGACTTCCATCAGACTCTACCAACAGAATTTTAAGTTTTCAATCAGGTCAGACCATAAAAGAAGGGGCTAAATCAAGCAATTTGAACTTTTTCAAGCACAACCTAACCACCATAAATCCACTCACGCTTACGGATTCAACCAACAAGGAGCCGACCATTATAACTGCCACAAAATCCACAACTAAAGAATTGACAATAGGCAAGACTGGAGCAACTCGGGCTCTCTCAAGTCATACCTTAGGCTTAATCCTTGGAACTATATCTAGTAGCAGCTTGCTCGTTATAGCAATTTTTTATTTATATCGGTTTTGCTTTAAGCGAGCTCATAAGTCTAGAAAGAGCACAGGCTTAGTTTCCCATCTAAAAGCGGACTATACTGCTACCAAAAACCCACATGTTTCTAAAAATATAGAAGTCTCGCGATTCTCAGCCTATTCATAAGGATTTTTTGGGATGGGGGCGAAATGCTGTATGAGCGAAATACGAGGGACTCTTAAATGACTTCGCCCCTAGTTTGTCGAAACTTAGCCTTCTAAAAAAGCAGGAGATAGGATACCAAAAATACCGAATATAAATAAATTAGGCGTAATCCGAATTTTTACAGTTAGCAGCCTAAAGGCTCTACAAATACCGCGTTCAAATGTAGTAAAATTTATGCTCAATGGGAACACCAAAGGTTCTCACCTACGAAAGATTGACAGCAAGCTACCAACGTCGTACACAAGAAAGTTTTATAAGAACGTACCCAGGAATCGCGCATACCTGCTAACGCAGCTATACCAAGGCCATAACTAACTATCCACCTATACAAAGAGGTTCGGCTTCCGCGAAGATGATTTATACGAGTACAGCGCGCAGGAGACAGTCAGCCACGTGTTGCTGCACTATCCAAACCTGCAAGGGCTACAGGGTGATTAAGGAGAAAAGCTGGGGACGCAACAGCATGTCGAGTCTACTGGGAGCTCAACCGAAGGCGAGAAAGGTAAACCAAACAACGTCTCAAGGGCGAAGATAATTTAGGCCATAATAGACTGCGCCGAGGCGTCACAGCAGTTCCGCAGTTATGCGAGGGCAGCCTAACAACAGAAGGGGATTAAAGGATTCCAGCATTTATAGGGCAGGTAGTGGTTGGTAAAAAATGTTCGTCCTACCAGTATATCTTCGCTCGTCCAGTGTATTTATAGAATAGTCGAGTGAACTTGGTTAGCAAAAGGGGGGGGGGGTGTTTGAGAGAGAAGTGGCCAGGCAACCGATCAAATCCCCTGTTAGCTCGGCTGTTTAGCTTATTTACAATTGAATGGCTCTAGACACATATAGTCCATACAACCATGGTACGATAGCTACTGTATATTTAATGCTATTATACAATGATCTACCCCGTTCGCAGCGGGTACATCCGTTTATAGGTACTATACCTGGTGAAAGACTTGGGGATTATCTATTGTATAACACGTTCAGCCTCCTTCGATAAAAAAAAGCACCCTCTGTTTCAAGATGACCGCAACATTATTCAAGAGTCTATACTCAGTCGGGACGTATTTATAAGGCTGCTTCGTCAACACGCCTCACCTCCTTATCACCAGGTATAAGCTTTTATCCAATATTTAATCCTTCCAAGAAAATATAAAGGTTAACGTCCGTCTTCGTTTCCCTATTCTCAAAATTAATCCGAAAAAAAGCATTACTATAAAAATTTATAGCAACACTTTGTGAAACCTTATATCAATCAAGCGTTAGCACAGTTTAGAATTTATAGGCATTTAATATCTAATTCAGCTCGCATTACCTAAGTACCAGCCCTAGTAAGACTCAGTTAGAGGTGAAACTTTTTACCTAGGTTATAGATATTGTTCCGTCAAAGCAAGACAGTGAACACCAAATAACTTCGGTTCTCTTACCTTCTATTGCGACAGCTGAGTCATCTCTAGTATTATACGGTTTACGTACTCCACTTTTACTACCTAAGCAGACGAAGAGTAACAACGACTTCTATACCACCTATAATCCCGCCAACTTATTAAAGCAAAAAACCCCAGAGATAACGTCTCCGGGCAGTCACAATAATATAAAAGCCACACCAACTAGATATAGCGACGGCAGCAAGCGGAATAGGGTACGGAAGCCCTTACTTGATAAATATCAATCCAAAGCCAGTCTCTCTGTTATACCAGCATCATTCAAACACAGGGCTATAGCCTATCATAAGGTGATAAAGCTAGCACCACGCACATATCGTAGCGCACGGAAAATAACCAAGAAGCTCTGCAAAGCACATCTGCAATTTATTAAGAACCACGTCAAAGAGCACAGTGATATACTCGGCGACGGAGAAACCTTCCTACACAAGATAGCGACTGCACACCCAAAATACAACCGGATGATTCGGGCCCTTCCCATATTAATAAATTTCGTTCCTGAGGAGCTTAAAGAAAAGCTATTAATCAAAGAAAACATAGAGTTGTTGAAAATAGGAGCTTTTTTGGTGAATAAATGGGTGTCAAGGTCGGCCGACGAGTAAAGGATCTGTGGAAACAAATCCCCTTGCCATCTCTATATGGTTTTCCCCTTAAAAATGATCAAGTCACAGGAATTCAAACAATGTCTTTGAAGGTACGGAAGCATGGACGTTGAACTTACAGTATTGTTTGGTGGTATATGGTCAGGTTGCCCCACATTATACGCCATGATATAGCACATATACTAGTTACGTGGTACAGTTAAAGGAGTGCTCGTGTATATTGTTACGTTACTTACCGCTCCGCACGAATTTTCGAACTGTTCGAAGTTCGCGAATTTCGGCGAATCGAATCGAATTCGAACCTTGGTTTCGGCGCTTCGAATCTATGGCCGATTCGATTCGTCAAAATTCGCGAATTTCGAACAGGTTCGCGAACTAATATCTAGCCTTTTTAGGAAAAAGGGTTTGTGGAACGAGTTTTCGAGATGCCTGGCCCCTACAAGAATACTTCTGCAAATAAGGTCTAGAATATCAAACACCTGTATGCCCAAAAAAGGTATTACTGTATAACTATGAAGACTTCCAACGCGCAGCATCTTTCAGCCTTAATAAGGTCCCAAGGGTCTTACCTTTCATGGAGAAACGTCGAATCCCCAGCACATCTCTCCCACCATTGAACAATCTCTCGATATCTACCTCTGCTGCTGGTATAGCAAGGTGATCTTGTGCTACCTTTGCCATACAACTATATTCAAGCATGTTGGCCTTCCACCAGTTTCGTATAAACTCGGACTGGCTCTGGCTTATATCGAAACCAGTGCTGATTGTCGGAGTATCGAAATACTTATCGATGTCAGACTCAGCGACATTATACTGTGTAGGCTGAAAGGCTTCCAGAAATCGATATTCGAAGCTCTTCCAATTGGTGCTTGGAGCGGTCGATACAGGCTGTTTTGTAGTAGAATATGCTTTCTTCAGAAACTCCCGGATTCGGTCAATAATCTTCTCTCCATCCGATAGCGTTTTTAGCCACTTGGTCTTAATTCGAGGGTCCAGGACGCTTGCGATATAGTATATGTCGTTGTCTTTGACGCAGTCGTGGTACTTCTCCAGGAGTGAGATTCCATCGGAAACAGGAACAGTTATTACTAGCGAAACCTTCTACCACTCGCCTCGTCGTTCCTTGATAGCGAGGAGTATAGAACGGAGCTCTCCAAACATACGCGCCGCCATATGAATTGAAGGGCTATCCCGAGAGACATACTCGGTATATTCATTAAAGGGAGCCAGGATCTTCTTGATATCCGAGAGCTGTCTCCAGTCGTTAGGTGTGAGACGTAAGGCTTCGATATCTGGATCATCGTTGACTGTATCTTCGAGCTGACGGCGACACTCTTCGGCTCTCACAATCATAACGAAGGTGGAGTTCCACCAAGTATCAACATCGTAGTTGATAGCTTTTGTACAGCCAGGTCGATTATCCCACTTCTGTATCCGCTGAGGAGATCGCGCAATCCAAAGTACAAGTAGTCGAAGCTTTGCAATAGGCGAAGTAGGAGCGTTGACCGTCTTCCAGCTCCTCTTAGCAACATCATCAAGAAGATCACAGGCTTCTTTATGCGAACTAGCGCGTAGAGACCTCAATATGGTTTTCATAACCAAGTTCAAGATGTGAGCAAAGCAGCGGATTTGGGAGTTATGGGTAAATTTCATCGTCCCTTCTCGGATGATAGTCTCGGACAGGTACCCATCGTACCGCTGAGACAGCTTTTGGTAGAGATATCGGTGTAGGGTATCGTTACAGTAGATTACGAAAACGGCTTCCCCTTAGAACACTCACGGCTTGTCTCTCGGCCCGTACCCGAAACCACACTAATCCGAATTTGGATTCGGTATTGACCATGCTTGGCTCACAATACATGTTAGATTACCACTAGTCCTAATTCGAGCTAGTGTAGTGTCGGGTACGGGCCGAGAGACAAGCCGTGAGTGTTCTAAGGGGAAGCCGTTTTCGAAATCTACTGTATTCGATACTTGTTGGGTGGACCAGGAGAAGAAGGAAGAGGTAAGATTGACAGTGCATCACGAACCAAGACAGTGGAGGCTGTCTTGGATTTTGCTGAAGCATCGCAACGGTTTCAAAGCCGCGCGCCATAAGGGCAGCATAAACACAACGACGGCATAGAGGCCACGGCAGGCCTCGGCGAGGCTCCAAGTTCGCTTAGGAAGTGGTACACGATACATGTACATAGGAAGATATATATAGTAGCGGTAGGCTGCATATCGTTTCGACGAGGGGTCAGCGTAAATGAATTACACACACACACACACACACATACTGTATTCGATAATTACACACACACACACACACATACTGTATTCGATAATTACACACACACACACACACATACTGTATTCGATGCGTTGTCAGCTGTAATCGTCATAACTTTATCAGATATATGAAACCTCTCGAGAACCGTGGCAACGATATTAGCAAGGTTCTCTCCAGAGTGGCTGCCTTCAATTTCAACGAACTCAATACAAGCGCGATATTGCTGGAAGGCAGAGGACATCCAGTGAGCATTAATGGCTAGCATTGGCAATGAATTCTGACTTGTCCAACCATCCAAAGATAGCGCAACTAAGGATGCTGAAGACATTAAGATTCGAAGCTCATTATCAAGAGCATCAAGCCGAAGACATAATCGACGCGACACAGTATCCGCACTTAGTACGGAGTCCTGAAATCCTGCAGACCTCAACATAGCCTTAAATGAAGGCTGTTCGACGCATATAAACGGTTGGCAGGTTGATACAATCCAATTCAAGGCAGCTTCTTCGAATAGGAGCTTCTTTTCCTTAGAAATCCATAAGCTTAACGGACCTTAGCACCCTGAATGGCCGTCCTGGAAGAGCTTGTGTGTTTGCTGTAGGTGCTGTTTTAACGCTGTGGTTGAAGATCGCAGTTTCGATGTAAATCGAAATAATCGGCAGGTGGATGGCGACACAATATATAGGTGTTTAAGCTCGGACCGCTCCTTATTTCCTAATCTCCAAGTACCAGATTCAGGTGTAGTAAGGTAGTGTTTCTAAACCCAGCTCCGCTCTTTCGACCTAGTCTCATCTTCCTACTTGATTTCAATCCTCTCTACCTCGCATTCGACCTAAGATATTGATTGCGAAGGACGTATATCCGTATCAAGATTCGATAAACTCATAGAGACATTGCTGGGAGCTGTAGGAGAGGTTGAAATCGGAGGAGTCGGCGACTTAACGGCGGACCGGACCGCCATCTTCTTTCGGGGAGGCGGAAGTGGTATATCCTCTGCAAGGAGGCCATATTTATTAAGCGCCGCATAATCGCGTTTATTCTTCCTAGTATTAGGACAGTCAAATGTTGTAGCAAGTGGAGAAGTCATCTGTAACGTTATATTAGTATGTTAAGCTTGTGTCTTGATCGATCGCTTACCCTCGGGCACCCTGAAGTGATGGCTTTTAGTAGCCTTCTGAACCCGATTTGGATGTTGTTCTTGGTAAAAGCACGTATGCGCGAAGACACGTTCTTGTGGAGTCTCCGCTAACCCGATTAGACTATCTATCTATTCTTCATTAAATGCAATGTGCAGCTATTCATATTATGAGTCGAATGATATATATTTGGATGAAGGTTTTGACCGAAATTTGCATCTATTGATAGTGCCCCACAGCTTCTTAATCTTAACCCCAGATTGTTCAATTTTGATATCAGACTGAATCTAGCCTACTTATCTCTGTATCCAACTATCAGTTAACCAATTATTAGACTACCTGTATGAGGTGTTAGTTGCTGGCTATCTTAACTGAACAACAGTGTGATTGACCGCCTTCCCAATGAAGCTTTAGAACAAAAAAGTTCGCGAACTTCGAATCGAATTCGAACCGGTCTTGAATTCGAATTCGTACGAATCGTTATTTTCAATATTAGTTCGAATCGAATCGAATCTGCCAAAAGTTCGATTCGATTCGATTCGTGCGGAGCGGTAACGTTACTTAGAAGGCAAAGGGCAAGTAAATCCAGATAAAAGCAACTGGGAGATATTGATGCGGGAAAAATGCAAATCAAGGACTGAACACATCGCTGCTTTTCCAAATCCGGGTGTACTGACCAATGAAACGATGGAAAAAAAATTCCCTGAATTGGAAGTACTTTAGAAATTGCCCTCTTTAAACTAAGGAAGTACAAATACAGCCTAGGTTACACAACTTCTAATCGTTGCTGGGCTATGTACTCTTATAATCCTCCGTCAAAATACCTGACATCCTAGGTGGTACTTCATTGCCTTCCCAATATCATAATTGTGGAGAAGCAGCTACGCCAAATCAACATCATACGGCAACTTTTTTTTTTACTGTGCTACTAGGAAATTGCAAAGTAGGTGCTGTGTATTACCCGCACTTACTCTTATGCGGGTAAAACTCACAACAGGGGCACTAGGTGACCTGAGATATGTAATAAAGCACTCTATTTATTGACATATTTCTTACCTCACAGGCGCCACTTCCATTGCAGATGACCGGCTGAAATTATCAATACCAGTATGCTTATTTGCAATTTGTTTACGATAATCTTTCCAAGAGACTCCCTAAGGTTCCATCTCAAAGCTTAACCTCACATGCAGCCGCAGAGTAGTCAATCGTCTTACCATTGAAGCACCTACATTAACCACTAGTGTAAAACTCCGATTCCCTAGCAAATTATCGTCAGTAGGAGGTACATTCGTCTTACTAACATAAGAACATAAGGAAGACTTACTTTATCAAGCAAAGTCGGGCTATCGGTAACTGTAAAGATTTTAGTAGGCCACTACCATAGCTATAACTCCCAGATGACTCTAGTTATACAGTCAAAGGCGTAACGGTTGCATCCAGCGTGTTCAACTTGCTATCTGTGTCCAATACCGTGCCGGAAATGGGAGTAGAAGTCATCGAACTGGCCAAGGTAGATATCCCGAATGCAGCGCTTGTACCGGTAGCAATGCCTGAAAATGTTACAATGTACGAGTCGAGTACACCGCATAGACAGCTCATAGAACAGGATTGGTCTGAATTCAATCTCTTCGATAAGATCCCTCCAAGGATGGCTTTGCCTTTAGACGGCCTTCCCACAATTAAGAGAAAGAGATCAGTACATTTAAGACCCGAACTATCCAAACCTAGGTAATTATTAGATATTCGGTTTCCGGTATACGTACGACAGATACTCACAATTTGTTAGAACTGATTCAAGACCGGCTTGGCAGTCATAAGACAGCAACAGTGTCTGCTCATTCTCGTAACGAATATATTAGACTAAGCTGCTGGTATTAGTAACCTGATTCCATATATCGAGCAGATTACAGGTATTTCCAGCAAACTGCTTGATTTGAAACGTTACACTCGTTATGGTAGCAAATGCCAAAACTAAAAGGCGACCAGACATATCCAAAGAGTTGAACTTAGTGACTAGTAGTGGGTTTAACCTTTCAGTTTCAATGTTTGTTCACTAACTAATACTAGAGGAATTCAGCCTTTTATAACTATTATAAGTAGGAGGGGCCTATTATAGAAGTGCAAAAATGGTTAAACGGTCCTAGGACGGAAACACATAAGAAAGTTGCGGAATTATAATAGCTTGCTTAACGCCCGAAAGGTGTTAGAACTTAGGAAAAAAGTAGGGGTAAGGCGTCATTCATTTTAAGCAGCCTTTTTATGATAACGACCATAGGCATACCTCCAACAGAGAGCCAAGAGCATCATTTTAACATGGTTAGTGTGTTCTATATTATATGCTACCAGGAACATACTATAGGGACGCAGGTTAACTAACCCTCAACCTTTTGCACCTCTACAATCCTGCGTCTATTTAGGATAATTTGTTTAAGGATTTTTATAGTAGCTTAGATATATTAGGGTATTATAAAGATATCCAGTGGTACTCCCGTAATTGTATCTGCAAGCTAATATCGTTTTAACATCATGGTCCGCGCACAAAGCTTTCTCATATTCTACGTCTTTATTCTGCAAGCTGTTAGTTCAGCGAAAGAAAGTATACACTTCATTTACTGATTTACTAGCTCAGTAGCGCAGTACTTAATTCGAATCGAATTCAAAATGACCTATTTGCAAGAGAGGTAATAAGAACAGACCCTTTAGCTATCTTAACGGTACTCAGAGGGAAAAACAGATTTTAGAGTCCCCAAATTTCCCCGCGCCAGCTCTTCTAAAAGGTGTTATTACACAAAGACGTAATGTAAGTTATTTAGCCCTTCGCTCTTTTGTACGATTTACTTACTTAACTAAGGCCCTTCTAGAATACAACTTCACAAATAGAATCGCGTATATAGTTCCTACTACCGAAAATATTAAGCACCTTCAGATCGAGCAGGAAAAAATGTATATTACAGAGCCAAACCACTGCGCTCGGGTATCTTACTTGAATTAATCAGGTCTTTTCTTTTGCAACTACGTATAACGAACTTTATTCTAATATGGCTAGATTGACTGGCTTACGATACTACTACAGAATACTGCCAGAATTGCTATTAAGTGTGGCGATCTTATTTCGCCCGCGCAAAATCTTTTCGATACCTGCCAAATTGCGAACTATTACACGTTTAGAATTGTGGATCATATAACATAAGACGCCAATTACTATATCAGAATTAGCGGGGCGAGGCTGTAGAATAGAGTCACGTGTTTATACGAGTTTATATAATCGCTATTACTAAACGGCGTCTTACTCTACATTCGCGTGCAAAATGCTTCCTACAGGTTCCCTTAAAGTAAAAAAAATCCTGAACTCAAGATAATTATAGCGCACACTCTAACCTTCGCTTTTCTTCACAGACCTCTTCCCCTTTATCTACTAAGTTAGTTCTACGAAGA